TTCCAGGTCTACTATGCTATGTGCGGAGGCAATAAAAGCCTCTATCAGAGGTTCTGTACCACATCTAGCTCTCCATCACATGCTAGACCAGTGCAGTCATGATTGCGTAGAAAGTTCAATTAGTGACGTAATATGCTTTAATATATGCTCGTATTAGATATTTGTATATAATTAGATCGTTTCGTTCAAATTTTAGTCTTTGGCTTGGCTTAAATTACAATTGGATAAATGCACAGACCTTACTCGAGTTAATGGGAATCACTCGATATAAAAAATCCTTAATTAGATCTGTTCTCAATTCGCTGAGCCCAGTCTTGATATAGCCCCTTTCTTTGGTACTCCGACGGTCACTCGCTATGCTTGTCCTAAACCTCTCCGCTTGCCACCAGAGGACGACGAAGTTCGAGCTAATCACCGGGAGAAGCATGTGGGCTACCTCTTCTATTGACATCGCGTTTGTAATTTTGATCTCAGCGCAATAAGGCGTCTTCTAGAGATTATTGGAGTCGCTGTGTAGTCCTAGTACTCTCAGGGATCATGTATTTTGTATGAATTGGCCTTCAGTTGTGATCGACTACTTTGTTGCCAATCACTGTTGGACATCCCCTTTACCGCGATTTCATTCTGAATCGTATTTCGCCGTGTTGGCTATAATATCAGGGGCTAACACTCTCCTGAGGTAAATGGATCTCATCTATACACGGCTTTCTCGATATTATTGAATAAATAACTGTTTGATGCAGCTTGACACTCCTACGTCACTTGATCACCGAAATGTCTCAACCATTACTTATCAACGACTTACCAACTGAGCTTCTAAGGGAGATTTTCCTCTCTTACTTTTACAATAGACTGGGAAACCCTGCAAAGCTTCTCTCTGTTTGTCGCCGATGGCAGATAGCTGCCCAAGAGACTCGAGCCCTTTGGAGTATTCTTCATTTTCACTTTTGTTTCCGGAAAAATAGCTGTCCAAAAAGTCTCCCAACTTTTCTGTCGAGATACACCTGGGAGCATTCGATGGCAATCCGTTACTTCTCTCTGGACAATTTACGTCGAGGCATCGAGCGATTGAACGGCGCGCAATTCACCCTTCTAGCTGATATGTGCAGTGGTGCTCCATCAATATCGGAAGCCGAAGAGCTCTTTGCTCTTAAGCCCTTGATTAATAATCAATGCACCTCTTTGGTCCTCTCCAACACATTCATCAGGCATGACCCGTATGGTCTTCTCAGCAGTATACAAGCCGCCAAGTCTCTGGAAATAATTGGAAGCTCTTCTGTGTGGTCAATCGCATCGAATTGCCATTTCTTTGTCAATATATGCGCAAATACACATCCCTTGCATACTCTTACACTCCGCGTAATGCTACCACCCTCCATTCTTCTAAATCCTTCCCTATTTTGCCACACACACCACATATTACTCCATATATCCGATGAATGGAGGACAGACGACTTACAGCAACTGGGAAGCCTTCTTCAAGAGGTTCGAACCTTCAGTTTGGGAGGCATTATTACGCCGTCATGGCAGCCGATAATTTCCATTCCTTCACAACATCTAGTCCACATGAACTTGTCTTCTATATCCCCTTTCAT